GCACATGGAGCATTCATTGCATCTCTGGACTCTGTTACTATACCTAACAATTGGCAGGTTGCAAAGAAGGACCAGAAATGGAAAGCTGCTATGCACGAAGAGCTAAGGGCCCTTGAGAAGAACCACACTTGGGAGTTAGTAAAGCTACCAAAAGGGAAGAGAGCAGTTGGATGCAAGTGGGTCTTCACTGTGAAGCAGAATCCAGATGACAGGTTGAACGCTACAAAGCACGTTTGGTGGCAAAAGGATATAGTCAGACATATGGCATCGACTACGATGAGACTTTTGCACCGGTGGCAAAAATGAGCACTGTTCGGACCTTAATCTCTTTGGCAGTAAATAGTGGATGGAAGCTACACCAACTAGATGTGAAGAACGCATTCCTTCATGGAGATCTAGTGAAGGAAGTATACATGGAGATACCACCAGGATTCGGTACAGATCAGACAGTGGGAAAGGTCTGCAGATTAAAGAAGTCTCTCTATGGGCTAAAGCAGTCTCCTCGTGCTTGGTTTGATAGATTCAGGAGGGCTATGATTGGTATGGGGTACCAGCAAATCAGCACCGACCTGGAGGCCACATTACTATGCTTGCGGTATATGTGGATGATATGATTATTACAGGGGATGATGAGAAGGAGATTGCCCAACTCAAAGTGAGACTGGGTAAGGAGTTCGAGGTGAAAGATCTTGGCTTGCTTAGATACTTTCTTGGAATAGAGATAACTCGAGGAGCGGAGGAGATCGTCCTATCCCAGAGAAAGTATGCACTGGATCTTCTCAAAGAAACAGGAATGTTAGGATGCAAACCTGCAACTACACCGATCGACCAGAAGTTTAAGCTGGGTGCTGAAGTTGGAGAACCAGTTGATCGCGATAGATACCAAAGGCTGGTGGGCAGGTTGATCTATCCGTGTCACACACGTCCCGATATCTCTTTTGCAGTGAGCGTGGTGAGTCGCTACATACATGATCCAAGGAAGGGTCATATGGACGCAGTGTACCAGATTCTAAGGGATTTGAAGAATGCCCCCGGAAAAGGGCTAATCTTCAGAAAGAATGAACACATGAGCATTGAGGGCTATTGTGACTCTGATTGGGCTAGCTGTGCTGATGACAGAAGGTCCACCTCAGGATACTGTATCTTTATAGGAGGCAACTTACTCTCGTGGAAGAGCAAGAAGCAGTCGGTGGTGGCGAGATCGACAGCTGAGGCAGAGTATAGAGCTATGGTCTTAGGAGTTGCTGAGTTGTTATGGTTGAAGAGTATGCTGGTGGAGCTGAAGCTGGATCAAGGAGCTAAGATGAAGTTGTGGTGTGACAACAAGTCAGCCATCAGTATTGCCAACAACCCAGTGCAGCATGATAGAACCAAACACATCGAGATCAATAGGTTCTTCATCAAAGAGAAGTTGGATAGTGGACTACTGGAGCTAAGTCATGTTTCGACTAAGGACCAGGCAGCAGATTGTCTGACTAAAGGACTTAGTTCAGTAGATATGATTAGAGGATGTGACAAGATGGGCTTAGTAGATATCTTTCGCCCATCTTGAGGAGGAGTGTTGACATATTAGTATTAGTTAGGACTTATTTGTAAGTTGTGTAAGGGGCCTATATAAAGCCCAAGAGATCTCATAATGAATTAGGGTTTTCATTTACAACACAATCACCTAAAACTTGGGCTGAACGTCTGAACTTTAACCTTATCTCACCTAACCCGTGCCCGTAATTTGCAAATAACTAAAATGTCCATGAGAAAAAAAAAATCTCAAGCCTTATCACTTGTCATTTACAGGCAACATTCTCCCTCTCCTACATTTTTGGCTTTTGTCTCTGAAGGAAGTATTGATCAAGGGCTTATGTGAGATAAATAAAGTTCAAAGGCGTTATCTGCAACACATCCCAAAGTTCAGGGGTGTTTTGTTTAACCCCAAAACTAAGCTTTTCTGAAGTAGTTATTTGGGCAGCATCATGGAGGGTATGTTAGCTGAAAGATATATGAAGTCTTGAGTTCTTGCAAGTTAAAATGGTTTCCTTTACATCATGTTAGCCTAAAGTCTACGAATGCAATTATATTCATGAACATTATTCCAACAGGTTTCCACACAGACACTCAGATCAATTTTGTACTCCTCAGTTCAACCTGAACAAAATGAAAATGAAAGAAAAATATATTTTTTTCTTGTTTCGAAATCTATTCGAGTTAAGGGTACTTCAGTTGTGTTGCAGGTTCGAGGATCTCGTGCTGGAATTCGCTCTTCCTTGGATCACAATCTTTATTTTGATGATAAACTGTATACTTTAGCTCCGTTAAATTTTTTTTCCTTGCTGCAGGCTCAAAAAATTTTGAGAATGAAGGCTTTATTGTCGTCCACGTATGTATGATTATAATTCATAAAATGGTCTTGCCACCTAAAGAGGATGGTATATATATATGCCTTCAAATATTGTTGAATGTGAAGCTTAAATCTTATTTTGTTTTCTGTTGATGACATATGTCCCCTCAAAAATATATAATGCATTCTTCTATTAATTTTTCCATTTAAGATGCTTCCTAGAGATTTGAGTTTAATTACCGCATTGGGCACGAGGTCGTACGTTAACATGCATTGTATTAGACAGATAAAAGTAAACGAATGACTGCTCATCAAAAGATAAGTCAATATTATAAAAAGTTGCCAGCTTTCAGTGACTTCTTAATGTGAACAATGCAAGCAGCATATGTTCATACTATGAAGTCCATGAAAGTTTTCATTTAGGCATCGTTTTTATGTTCCTTGCTTTGGTATCAAGGAAAAGGATCAATCGTCCTTGAATAAATACTGGACTCAAAAATATTTTATATGTTGTTTTTTTGTGCCATATTTTCTTCTCGAGCATAGACGATGGAGTCGAAGTTGGTCAGGAGAATTCAAATTAAAGAAGAGATTGCTATGAAATAAATGTTCCTCCCCTAATTATGAGTATAAAAATCTTGATATAAATTATAAGACATTGTTGATAATAAGCTAAAAATAGACATGACTGGATTGGAATAGTTGTAAGTACAAAAACAGTGCGATGGAGGTGATTAATTTTCAAGGGCATATCATAGCAGAACATTATAGGCCTTGTGGTACGTTCTGAGCCAACTAGATGGAGTTAAGATGAACAAGTACCACAGGAATTTCAATACCCTCTTAATGGTTCGTATAGTCTATAAAGTGCGGAGTTTTGATAGAATGTGTACTCAATGTGCAGAGTTCTGATACATCCGTATAGTGCGAAGTTCTGATAGAATCCATACTCATGCTCAATGAATGGAAGTAAAAGTGGAGGTGAACGACTAAAAATATCATAGAAAAGCTTTCGTATTGAAAGTGCATGATATCATATTACTGATTGTTGAGAATTTGAAAATTCGCATGAGTTTACTTAAGTGTTACAATCAATGATCAAGCAAATATGAGATAATTGTGAATGTACCACATGTTATAATCAAGATATAATACGAGCCAGTTAATATTAATTATCAAAATATGCACTACAATCGAGGACTAACACACGTGCTATAGTTAAGACATGATATATGACCAATAATTATACACTAATATGACCCAAGTATAATAAGAAGAGATACGAAGAAAAATGTATAACATATCTATGATACATGATCTAAAGATGAATAATATTTTAAATACTTCACACTTTATCCACGACTACAATAAATAAAACGCTAGCACAAAACCATATTTAAAATACCATTTATCTAATCTATAAATAGGCCTTATTGTAGTGCTTTTATAATTTCTCATGCTTGTATTAGTTTATAATAACTTTTGGGGTAACACTTATTGTTACATATTTTCTCATATTATTCTTGTTCTTAATTCTTATTCTCGTGAATATGAATATGAATATAAGAAATTGGGCTTTCAATGTTAGTCCCATCGTCTTTCATAATTTTGGATTGCCCCTCAAATCATAGAAATTGCTATTAGGTCTCAATCCCTCAAATCATTGAAAATTGCTGCTAGATTCCCAAAATCTCAGGTTATTTTGATATTATTCATTCAAACCAAGAGTGAAAATAGCAAATAGAGACAAATTAGTCACTTTCAGTCATTGAAGTTGCTATTAGATTCACAAATTCTTATGTATAGTTGTTTTAAATTAATCAACTGATTCCTAATTAGCCACTTAAAATCATTGAAGTTGCTATCGGATTCACAAATTGTTATATGTAAATTGTTTTAAATTAATCAACTGACTCCTACTTCTACTCTCGTTAGAGGGGCTAATTAAAAAATAACTTAAGACTTTGGGGATCTTATAGCAATTTTAATGATTTGAGTGGCTAATTTTACAATAACTTAAGATTTGACAGACCTAATAGTAATTTTCATGATTTGATGAACTAATTTTAAAATTGGAAAGATTTGAAATATCGGGGGAAAAAAAATAGTGTAGTTAACATTGACGAGTAATTTCCACCCCAAGTTTATCAATTAAAACAAGGGAAAATATGCTCCAAGCCCCCACTCTCTCTCCCCTCCATCACAATGCCCCCGTCTTCCTCCTCCTCCTCCTCCTCCTCTCTCCCCGTCTCAAAATCCAAGCGCCAAAACCCTAACCCTAGCAATCCCACCTCCTTCTCCTCCTGCTGCAATCACTCCTCCCCCGCCGCCACCCTCGACCTCAACTGATTCCTAATTAGCCACTTAAAATCATTGAAGTTGCTATCGGATTCACAAATTGTTATATGTAAATTGTTTTAAATTAATCAACTGACTCCTACTTCTACTCTCGTTAGAGGGGCTAATTAAAAAATAACTTAAGACTTTGGGGATCTTATAGCAATTTTAATGATTTGAGTGGCTAATTTTACAATAACTTAAGATTTGACAGACCTAATAGTAATTTTCATGATTTGATGAACTAATTTTAAAATTGGAAAGATTTGAAATATCGGGGGAAAAAAAATAGTGTAGTTAACATTGACGAGTAATTTCCACCCCAAGTTTATCAATTAAAACAAGGGAAAATATGCTCCAAGCCCCCACTCTCTCTCCCCTCCATCACAATGCCCCCGTCTTCCTCCTCCTCCTCCTCCTCCTCTCTCCCCGTCTCAAAATCCAAGCGCCAAAACCCTAACCCTAGCAATCCCACCTCCTTCTCCTCCTGCTGCAATCACTCCTCCCCCGCCGCCACCCTCGACCTCCTGATCCTCATCCTCGTCCTCTTCTCCTGCTCCTTCCTCGTCCTCTCCTCCCTCTCCCACCTCCTTCGGGTCCTCTCCCAAACCCTAACCCTAAGCACCAACCCCCTCTCCTTCCTCCTCTCCTTCCTCCTCCTCCTCCTCCTCCTCCTCCCCCTCCTCAGAACCTCCCGATTCTGCTCCCGCAAGTGCAGAAACCCTAGGTGCAAGGGTCTGAAGAAGGCGCTGGAGTTCGATGTGCAGATTCAGACGGAGGATTGCGTGAGGGAGAAGGGGAAGGTGTGGAAGGAGATCGAGGATCTGCCGTGGAAAGGGGGGCAGCAGGGGAGGAACCCCGATTACGAGGTTCTGCGGGCCGAGCTGAGGAAGATGGCGCCCCTTAATGGCCGGGCTGTGCTGCTGTTTCGGGCGAGGTGCGGGTGCCCGCTTGCAAAGCTGGAGGCTTGGGGCCCGAAGAAGGGGCCGAGGCGAAGTAGGAGGTGAGTTCCAAGCTGATTTCTTTCGGGTTGAATTGGTATGTTTTTTTTTGTTATGTTTGATTGCAAAGTTCGTTCTTGTTTATTGCAGTTACTAGAATTTTGCAATTGCTCTTTTAGATCCTTTTGAGCGTGCATGCTTATATAAATTATACTGACAAGATGAGGACTTGCCTGTTCTAAGTTATGTTCTGGACAGTGTAATAGTTTCACTTGGTTTATTCTCTGATCATTGGGCCTCTGCAGCTGGTTAGAAGCGCGGAATGTTCTCTAGGGAAAATGTATTAGGTATAAAATCTCCACGATGATGTTATTATGAACTGAATAATTATCAGTTAATGAAATTAATCTTGGTAAAAAAATCTTGACATTGAGTAAGATGATCGATTGCTTGTTACTTTGGTCTTGTTTCTTCATCTTGGATTCTTGATGATCTTTGAGAGGAAGAATATGGTATAAGCTTATGAGTTTAGAATTTTGTACAAATTCATCCAACTATTTTTGTAGTTGACAGCTCTTCTCCTGAGTCCTGATGTTAAAAATATGTATATTAGGGTACTTAAGGTGATAAATGTGTATGGGGGTGATTCCCAATATTAATTGACAGTGGCAATGATAATGATAAATACTTAAATGTGATACTTGTGGCAACAAACTGAACCCTCTATAATCCTAGCCAGAAAGTTAGTTTTTGTAGCATTTTCTGTATTTTTTTTATGTATTAGTCTAGTGCAGGACAAGATTCCTCGTGATCAATATTTGGAGTTTGGAATATTTTTCATGTTGGTAGCTGGTACGTTTCTTGTGGAAACCTTTTAATGAATCTTAGTAGATTTTGTTCTTTTCCTTTTATCAGTGGTCATTGATAAAACGTTTTCTTAAAAGTGGGTCAGTACAGAATTCATTGCAGGGTGTTCCCTTGAGCAGAAGAGTGTAATTAACTGCTCATAACCCAATAATTAGAGTTTTATTGAGACATTTTGCGCCAGGCTTCTTTGCACGAGAGATAATTCTGACTCTCGGCAATCTTAACTGTTAATATTATTTTCAGTTGTCGGCTGTTATATTTCATTTTTGATGTCTAATATTTACTTTCTCCCTTTACCAAGCTGTATACTTGATTTTTTCGCCCCTCCCACCCTTTCTCCTCTTTTTTAAAAGAGATTTTTGTTGTTGGTAATTTTCTTTCTTTTGAATCAAATCCTGACTATAGTTTCAATGTTTCATTATGTCTTTTACATCTTATTATATAGTCACTTAGTCAGAATCAGTATAAATATACGCTAAAGTGTGACACCTTGTACCTGTAATTGTATATGATAGCTATATATAGAGGTATGTTTTCTCTTCACCAATTACAAAAAGAGTTAGTCTTATTCTACCATCGTATGACTTTAACTTAACTTTAGTCTTTAGACATTTTAGGACGATCTGGTAGCTCTTATCTATCTTGGAAATATAGTAGGCATTTCTGCAATTATTTTTCCACTTCGATGCAAATATTTTGACTTGAATAGGAAATGTCTTTCATAAAAATGTTTTATGAGCATGGTGCTTCAGCCACATGTCAGTTCCATGGTGCCTCAAGGCACATGTTAGTTCCATAGAGGGAACTGCCATTCAACTGATAAAGATTTTAAACGCTAAATTGTGTTTAATGACTAAACTGAATGACAATCAAAACATAAAGTGAATAGGAAGTACTGCATGAGTGTAATCCCAATAGCAAGCAGAGAATCTAATATGAATTTAAAGACGATCACATTAAAAACTCATGGAGTATTAGTAGAATTAAGTTCAAGCTTATTGGATTTGGAAGTGTGATTTGGTGGTTGAATATTGTAAATGGTAATTTGAGGAACAATATCTCATGTTCAACAAATAGAGGAGAATGAAAGTTCGAATAAGAGGTTGAAATATTTTCAAGTTGCACCAATTGTGAACAATAGTGGTGCTCAAAGATTATTAGCAAGCATACAACAAAAGTACTGCTGATTTAGATGTCATCCTGTGCGTAAGTCATAGAAACTCCTTGTACAATGGGTTATCATTTATTTTGTATTTCTGATAGGTATATGCATTTAACCAAGTAAAATTCAATATATGAACTACAAGTAACAATTTCTTCATAACAAGTTACATGAACAGGACAACATGTTTCTTCTAAACTGCATGATTTTCAACGTCAACACCTGACACCAGGATATCTGAATTTCCATGAGCGAACAGGGCCCTCGAGCATATCGAAAGAAAATAAGTAACTCCCAATTAGGAGTAACCATATGGTCCGAGAATATATGGAAGATAGAAGGAACTGCTGGAACTTGAATTTTTGAGAACCTTGTTTTCTAGCATCATATGAGATAGCAAAAATCATATGTCAAATAATTCAGTATATTGGAATCGTTTGGTATACTCTTGGGGAGTGTAGAAGGGTTAGTAGGATCCTATACTTTAGAAATAATGGATGTCATGAATCTGAAGTGGTGGGATTGATGGAATGAAATTGATGATAGGTTAGATTCAAAATGGGAAGAGCTGCAAAGCTAACTTCTGTTGCATTTATGGTCATGGTGATGTTTAAAAACATTTGAGATATGAGTATTCCATCAACCTATCATTTCCTTTCCTCCCAAGATAAGAACCTATTGTTTTCATTTTGCCATCTAACAACAAAAAGCATAACATATTTATGTGAGGAAGGATCAGCCATGCAATCAGCACTTTGTTTTTAATTTATATTGCTTTGCTTTGAAATGCTTCTTAGAACCCTTGAGAACTGCTAAAAGCAGATATGGCATGTAAATCCATCAAATTTATGAGAAGAAATGAGGGTATTGTTCACACTCGTAAACAAAAACACCCTAATGCTATCTGTTTCATCGCTTGGAATTAATGATGAGATTGGGGATGTTGTTCATTCATAAGACTTAGACCAGAACAGTTAAACAGAGAAGTGTGCATCCATGTGTGTGTCCTCTATGGCTTTGCAGGTCTAACTGATTATTATGATACCCTCCGGTCTGAAGTTTATCGGCCATTATTTCAAACATTGGTGAGGAATGAGTGAATTGTAGTGTGTTTGCGTGTGCGTCTATTTGCATATTTGATTTCTGCTTTTTTTTTATGAATCTGTTCATCATATGTTTCAAACTGACACTTGAAATCTTATATTTGTCCATGTTGGTTATGTGTTTATATGATGTCTAATTTCTCTTTCATTTTTATGTTAACATAACATGTCAGTTATGACAAGAGGGTCAGAAGCGAGGGCGATATAGACCGGGGAGCGAGCTCAAGCCCACTATGCCTCGTCCCCACCACGCATAGGCGAGACCGCAACGGCGTCGTCGGACCCCACACAATCCGGCTCGACACCATCTCAAAAAGAATAAAGAAAAAAACGCACGCACCGAACAGGATGCATTACCTTCATCTTCACGATTAAACGACAGAACCCACATATAATGCTACCCATCCCTGCGCCACGCGCACACGCGCACAATCCAAAACCTACTGGCAGATATTTCAATATATCTGCCTCCTCGGACACTTTATATCACAAACTTTCTCAAGACAAATGATGGGTCTTTTTTTTTCATAGTGAAAAGATCCCCCACTCAAAAAGGAGTCACTTTCATCGGCCTGAATTAGAATTTGAGGCTGCTGTTTATTGAGCTTTGTCCAATATTGTAGTTAGCTAATAATTATTATGTCAAACGGTATCAAAAGCCTAATTTCTAATTTTCCTAGTGGACCCCACCTTTTTATTATGCCACTAAAACTTCTCTCTTGTTAAGAACACTGAAACCGGATGTTAGCAGTTAGGTAAAAGTTACGTAAAACTGCTATTTGACCCTCAATTGAATGTATTAAGATTTAATCCAAGAAATTTCAGCTGGACTTTTATTCTGTACATTTAACATTTTCAGTTTACAGTGTTAAAATGTATGTATGCTTTCGTGTAGGTTATGTCAAGACATATATAAAGCTCATTATACCAAGTTAGATGTAAATGTACCTTCGTGTATAATGAAAATATAATAATAATAATGATATTTGTTTAGGCTATTTAGAGCAAAAAGATAGAAATTGGTGTAGAAAAAAAATGATTATCAATCATACAATATGAAAGCATCATTTTTTAGTTTCCATCATTTAGCTGTCACAAATGAGAGTGCAAAAGTATTATACTGGGTCATTATGTTGATCTTTGTCCTCGCTCTCTTTAAAGCTTAACTGGAGAGCATGTCCTCCTACATAAATAACCTAATGCATGGGTCTAGCAACATTTATTCCAACTTCTATATTGATTAAACGATGAAGAGAAAAAGGAAGTATGTGGGAATTGTGGCTTGCCACAGCTGTTGGAACTTTCTATACTCATAAAGCATAACCAAATTCATCTGCCTATCTATGGGAGTGAAAAATTTGTTGCTCGTTGACTTATATTAAACCTCAGAAATTAATGCTATTCCCTATCTAAAATCTTTGATACATGGGGTTCCTTTGGTTGTATGAGCTTAAATACAAGCTCAGAGAGGTAGGAACATCTCCAGTTTTATGGCCAGCCCCAATTGGTTCTGTGAGCTTTCCAGGGGCATGCTATATGCTTATTTGTTTCCCTTATCTCTCTGGAAGGATGGACAATTGCTTGAAATTTCCACCAAGTTAATCAGCTAAACTTTTTTGTAAGCTTCAAATGAAACATTTACGTGTCTTTCTATTTCACTATCGCAGTCATGCACTAAGAGTGGATCCTTGAATATATGTTTTGGTGACTACACCTGATTTTGATTATTATAGGAGTTCAAAATAACAAAATACCTCTATTTGGTACCTGTTAAGTAAAGTACATATTATGTTTCATTCTGCAGCCCATGAAATTCTTTCCTGTCTTCTTCTACAACGTTTTGGTGGTCTCATACGCATCACACTGGCATCAATTGTTCGATGAAGAATAACCTACACAAAATTAGATACACTCAGATGTTTTTGTACTTTTGCCATTTCCTTTTGTTTTGCTTTTTTTTTCCTTTTTCTTTTTGACATAATCTTTTCCTTCGTTTTCATGTGTTTATTCCTCTTTCCTATCTGATATCAAATCTCATTTCAATGCTGATGGAATTTTATGACTGGTGGTGCAGGAGCATGGCAAACCTCGCTCTCGAGGGTCCCAACGGTGGATGATTTATCGGCTGGATCTCATCTATTATAAATTATAGTTCTCTTCTGATTTTGCATAAATTTAGAAGTTCTTATTCATCAAAACTTACTATAGCAATTTGGCAATGTGGCCACATGAAGGAAAAGTTAAATCACAGGATAGCGGTTGCCTGCTAAAGGATTGCATCCTAAGCAGAGAAGAAACATGGGATTGAATAATGGACATATGAAAATACAAAATAAAACGTATGCTGCAGCAATTAAATTAGTTCACATTTCTCAATTTCATGATGGACATTTGCATATTTTATAGTTCAATGCTGTTTTTCTCTCAGTATGTTGGTTAGCATTATTCTTCTTGATGAGAGCAGTTCTTGTGGGTTGTGCATTACAATTTCAGTTTACTGATATAGAGCTTTACTATAACTGCTCGTAATAAATTTCATAAGGGTCTGTTTGGTTGTTGTTGGTAAAGTTGTGTATTTATGACACAACTTGGAAAGTTGTTGTCCACATCATCAATTTTACTTTTATATTTTTCTTTGTTTGTTTTTTATTCCATTGGAATCATAAATTGCTTGTTTGGTTTGTAAATGTAACTTTAATTGTTTGTTTGGAAAATGTAAAAAGTTGTCCCTACTCAAATGATCATATTAGTTGAAATTATTTTTTATTATTTTTTCCTGATTTCAATGTCAGCTTTCTCTTAAAATCATGTCTTTTGTTTTTATGAAATCACTTTACAAGTCACATCAGCATATGAAATCACTTTACACTATTTTCACAACTACAAACAAACAATTGAAAGTGATAAAAGTTGACATTGGGACCTATTTTTTTACACTTTCCATCCTTTTACATGGTAAAAACATACAACCGAACAGCCCCTAATGAATTGTCTTGCATTGAAACATGATCTGCATGGTACAATAAACGAGTAAATAAATAAAAGCGCTCCATTTAGGCCCTTCTTTCTTATCATTGCCTGGAAGAGGCTTCTATTGCATGGTTAAACAAGCACCTTAAATTTTACTGATTAATAATGGATTAAAAGGTGAAGTCCACTTGACTAGAAACAGGATGATATCACTTCAGCAGCGTGGAGTGACACAACCTCCCCCCTCTTTTTTAATGTGAGGAACTTTGGGGTAGTACTAACCAAGTAAACATCAAAGTCTAGGGGTGTGTTTGGTAAACTATATAAAACTGGACTAAAAACTATATAAAACTGGACTAGAACCAGTCCTGACTCAGTTTTGTGTTAAATTAGTTTTCTTTTGGAGCAGCTATCTTCCGGTAAAAAAAAAAAAGTTTAGTGCCAAATTTTTGGGCTAATAAAATTGGGCCAGTTCTAACTTGAGAATTCTACCAAACAAAAAACAATTTAAAATTGGGCTATCTCTAGTCTAAGAATTTGTCAAATAAGAAACAACTTAAAATTGGGTCATGTGATTCAATTTTACAAGATTGCCAAACCTATCCTAGGATTTCTCTTTTGCAGTTCGATCTAAGTGAATAGCACAAATATCGCAATACTTAATAATTATTACCGTAATGTCTAGTAATTAAAAATTGATGATAGACATGTGCCTTTTGAGCCAAGGCTTCAACGCTGACACTAGGCCACTTGCAAGGAGTGAGTAACAAATGTTAGGGATGCTATAAAAGTGAATGCAAATTAAATATGTACAAATGTTTAGGGATGCTATAAGAGTGAATGCAAATAAAATATGTGCATACCCTAGGACTTGATAGCTCGAAAGAACGATTCAATTTTTTGAAGTCGTTTTAGGATTTTAGCTTTTGTTTTTGCATAAATTACACTAAAACCTCGTGAACTTTCAATGTTTTTTTAACAAACTCCTATGAACTTTTAAAATCACACGAAACTTCCAACAACTTTTGCGGAAAACCCCATGAACTTTTAGGTAAATTACACTAAACCCCTATGAACTTTAAACGTCTTTTCACGTTGTTTATTGGTTCTAAATTATAGGGGCAATATGCAAAACTCAAAAACTTTATGTTTGTATCCAAAAAGTTATTAGGGGTTTAGTCTGATTTTTAAAGTTCACGGGGGACTACTACAAAACAGCGTAAGTTCATGGTACCCTTTGTTTTTGTTACTGTTAGCCTGGGGTCCAAGTCCACCAGAATGAATTGAGAAATAATGCGAAACACGCAAATACTCAAACAGAAAAAATTGCTTCGATACGTAAGGTAGAAAACACAACTTTAATTTACTTGAGATTCTGTAGGTTACAGATGCAATGCATTTTCAACCACCAAATAAAAATGAAAAGCATCTCGGTATAACACTTGGCACCGAAGCACTTTCTCAATGTTAATTGAGCATTTCCTAATTGAATAACATCTCACCCCAAAAGCACTCATAATTCGAGAAATAGAAAGTGGAAAGAGGATACTGAAAATCACGGCCAGGTTAACTGTAAGTTTGAGGCAGCTTGTTAGCCTACCTCAACTCTTCTACATTCTCCACATTAACAATTTATTATTATTACAAAATAAGCTTACAAACACTAAAAATCATCAACCGGCATCAGCCTCCTTACCTCCTCGTCCCTGGCTTCTGACGAGAGAGAGCTGTCATTAAAGCAGCTCTCACAGGCTCCGACGGCGAAAACCCTAAAGACGGCATATAATCATACATCCTCTTAGCCTCATTCACCATCCCACCAGCCGAAAGCCCAAGCACAATCCTCTCAAACTCGTCAGCCTTTAGCAATTTCTTCCTCCCCTCCAAAATCCTCAAC